GTTCTTCCCCAAACTGTTCACACAAAGTTGGAAGTGTACAATTGTCCAAAATGTCTTGGTGCTGAAGCATTAAGATTTCCCTTCACTGGAACTAAGGGTTCTAGACCAACCCCTGAAAAACAACCCCATATCATCATCCCTCCTCCACCAAACTTTACTTAAGGATATGTGGTTAAGTTTATCCACCTGTTAGCAATGGGTGTGGCTGAAACACCTGATCACAATAACCAGGACTACTTTGGTCCCTATGGTGCATTTAAAATGCATTTTTGGAATTGTACTCGAAAGGTAGACTACTCCAAGTTCATCCATGAGACTGCGGATTGAGACACAGCCTGGATTTGTTGTTGTTGGCACCCTGTTTCCTCTCCTGTACTTTGACCTTTGTATGTAGGGGACAAATAAAACTTTCTTATCTAGTTTCTTATTTTTGTTTCAACACAATCCATCCTCAATTGTTAAACTACAGCAGGTTAATGCCCTTCAAACACTAGCTGTGAAAAGAAATAGAGAGTAGGTAACACTCATTTCTCAGACATCATGAGATGGGTCCATCTGCAGCATGTGGCACAGACTGTCAGCCACAGACATCTGTGTGCTAAAAATGTGTTTCTTGTTCTTGTTTTTAAGTTATGAAAAATACATGTGTAGCACATTAGAGCAAACCTAAACAGTGTAGCCTTTTTTCTAGTCCTCCGGGCTCTAGTGTGGGAAACACTGTGCACTGCATAGCACGGGAAATAATCATCTGGGATGTGTCTGGAGTCCACAGCATTAGAACAGCCTACGTTAGTTGTAAACTTCTTTCTCATAGCTTATAATGACAGAATAGACAAAATATAATCTGAGTTTCCATAATACCGCCTCCTGCTGCTTCTGGATCTGGTCTTCTTACATACTTGCCTGGACAGCCTGACCATCTGCACAAACAAAGGGATGCTTTAGCTCCATCCTGTAGTAAAATAAAGCGGTAAGGTGATTTTTCTTTGTTTGCAAATGTGTAACTTTGAATATAATGACAGCCTAGTCAACATTGGTCTTATAGATTTCATTTGCTTACACATTTTTATAATAGCTTACAAGAAATGCACCATGTTGGGCTTCGTCTGGCTTCAGTCTGTAACCTCACAGCTGCTATTTTACCTCAAAGGTTTGCTGTCTGTAGGCTAAATAAACAAGAATCTGCTATCTAATTGGTCCACTTGCAGAAAGAAATATCACAATGCTATACATTCACCTCACTATAAAATCAGTGTATATAGATTTTACCATTAATTAGAAGCACTGAACAGTTCTGTCAGGCTCTTTGTTGGGGTTAAAATTTAACATGCAAGTCATAGATTGTGAGTGTTACAAATTAGGGTTTCTTTTTAAATTACTCATATTATACAAAGAAATTATCCTATGAAAAAAGCATTGTTAAAGTAAAAGAGTCTAAGACTATTTTTTCTGTAAAAAAAAAAAAACTAAAAAACTAAAAGCTACTGATTTTAAACAGACTCTCGTAGATCTGCAGGCAGGTTGGTCAAAGTGAAGTTGCTACCATGTACTCCAATATTTTTGGCCATCTTGATTCAGATCAGATTGTCAGAGTAAATGCATGAACATGATCAAGGAGGGGCTGAATTTTGCCCTAAAACCATAGCAAAGAATATAGGATGACAGCAGACATGCAGACTTTTCCTTTATTTCTTTATAAAACAGTAACCACAGTAAAACACAATGACACAGCAGATATTTACATTAGCAGTTAAAATTGTCTGACATTTTAAGTCGAAGGAATTCCAATAAATTTCAACAGTCTAGAAAGATAGGCCTCTTGCTTAAGACAGTAAGAAAAACAATTATGACTTGTAATAAAACAATTAAACACCCACTAATACTTCCTCACTCTTATTTTGAAATATAGTTAGTTTATTATAGCTTACAAAAGACAGTTCACCAACATTGTTACAGCTTTATATTATATATTTGTCAAACTCAGAAATGCAGTTGCCTGGAGTTGGATGTGTTGGGTGGAGTTTCACAGAGAGAAATCCACATCACTTCTTTCATTATTAGGAGGCTGATTCACATATACGGACCTTCACCATGTAAGCCAGGACTCTGCTTTGCTACTGAAGAATTTTCTGGACCACTCTTAGTCTGGGTCCCCCCCTCAACTTTTCTGTCATGAGTGACTCTACCAGGAGTTTGAGCTCCAGACAGTTCAGTTTATGGGTTCTTAGGACCACGCAAGCCTCTCTACCACGACAAGGTGGCGATCCACAGAGAGGGTCTTCAAAGCAATACACAACACCTTCTCTCTTAAGTTGCAAACTGCCCTGATACTTGGACAAAGCTAGTCTGCAAACATCCTCACTGACCCATCTGTACAGCTAGCTTTCCATGATGAAGTAATAAGTGGGGGAACAGTGGTCCCCATTTTGGCAGCTAGAAATTTATTGCTGAATTCTGTGTTGAAATATTGGTCCACTTTGTCAATTTTGATTGTTGTAGCCAGAGCAAAAAAACAGTTGGAAAAATGTTCCTAAAATAGTATTTGCATGTTTCAACACTGATGATTCAGTGATGCCCTTGAGGAACACAGACTATTTTTGACCAGTCTGATGGGCGGTTCACCCATCTACCACTTTCAGTAGATGTTTTGAAGAACCCCTCTGAAAATGTAAAGACCTTCCACATAATGGGAAGGTTTTATAAGAAACCTTATATTGATGTAGGTTCTTAAAACCTTTATGAGGTTCTTCACTTTCACATTTCTGTTTTCTAACAAGGGTTTTTACGCAATTGAAATTGGTCCCTCTATGGCTTCGCTCAAATAACCCTTTGTGGAGCCTTTTTAAGAGTGTATGCCTGCCTCAGTTTAATAAGACTTCAGCTGGGTAGAACCTTAGACTGATGACTGTTGTCTCTGGCCACTTATGTACACTGTTTGACTGCATTTCTGATGGAGGTCCATGCTTTGTATTCCCTCAGATGATATAGAAGAACATGTTTAGAGGGATGATGAACATTACGATCTGTGAGGACGTCTGGATCATTCCTGCAGTACCTGTAGAGACAGAGAGAGAGAAATTATTAATGATTTTAAATCCTTTGATACAGAGCTGGGTAGTTTAGGTAGTGTGTTGAATAGATCCATAACACACAGTCAGCCTTTTGTACTCTGTTGAGCATGATTAAGATTATCACAGCACAAAACACAGAAAATAAAACCTGTTCAACTGAAAAAGAGCTGAGGGAAATTCCTATGGGACAGTCCTCATCTTTGGGCTTACGTTATCTTACATTATCAGTGATGCTATCACTATGGCAGTGTTTCCATGGCTGCATACTGCTGTGGGCTGTACAGTGGTCAATCTTATCCTGGTCTGTCTCTGTCCTTTCCCGTTCCTGCTCTGGTATTGTCCGTCACCTGTCCCTAATGATGTGGTCTTATTATTGTTGTTCTGGTGTCTATGTCCTCCACTGCATATGCAACTGTTTGTTTATGCCATTTATACATCTAGTATATAATTCATTCCTTTATCATCCTGTGGTTTTAGTTCTATGTTTAACTTTTGTCATGAGGTTTTCCTCCTTCTTTTGTTTATTTTTTCCTACTTCCTACTTGCTTCAGCTTATCAATTGTTGAAACCTTTAAATCTGATGGTAAAACGGATGCAAGTGCCAGTCCAAGTGGAAATCCTCATTGCCTACAACAGCAAAGTTTTCCCTACAATAAAAAATTACAATAATAATTACTGTTGTTTTATAATAATAATAATAATAATGATAATAATAACAATTATTATTATTGTTATTGTTGTTGTTGTTTTATTATTATTATTACTACTACTACTAGTAGTTTTTCCCCAGAAAGTCCTGTCTTCTGTTTGGGTCTTCAGGCTTCTGAATGGCTGGTTCATGATTCTTCAGATTGTATCCACTCAACTTATAACTGGTCATCCTCTTCCTATTTTACCTTCAACTGTTCCAAGCATAATGATCTTTTCCAGTGAGTTGGTTCTTCTCAGAATATGTCAATAATAAGAGCTTCGGTTTGGTTATCTGGGCTTCTAGTGAGAGGTGAGGTTTGATTTGATCGAGGATCCATTTGTTTGCAGCACAAGGCTCTATATTAAATGGGTGAGAGTTCAAAAAGCTACTGAGGAACCATGTGTTAGTCTGTACGGCCTAAAGGTTTGTACATGTCATGTGTTCTAAAAAAGGCCAATAAAATGTTAAGTAAAAATAGTTGATACTGGATTATTTTTCTTGGAAATTCTGAAACCAGGTGGCCTGGAAGCACTGGAACTCATGACAAATCATTTCATAGTGTAGAGCCAGCACCTCAGCTAATCCAATACTGCAGAAAAAACATCACAACCATTTCCACACACACACAAAATAAATAAGTTCAATAAATAAGTGACTCACTTGATGCGTGTTGACTTATCATGGTTCTTTTCTGAACCTTTTCTGTTGGAAAAAGCAAAAACATACAAACAATATATTCTCAGGCTGAAAATAATATTCAACTTTATAAAATGTATAAATGTACAACAAAAAAGGCTTGTATAAGACAAGATTTACACTCACGTTCTGCTGCTTTATTTTCACTGTAAATCTCCTCTGGTGCATCTTTGTGGAAATAAGAAAAAAAAACAGAAATTATCAACTTAAAAATATCCTAATTAAGATTTACCTGAACCTGAAGGAGAACACCAAATTCCATGAAAGCACAAATGATTCACTGTATATCTCTGTAGACTCTGATGTTCTGTAGTTTAATCTCCTTACCATCTACTGAGAGCTCCACACTCTGGAGGAAGACTCTTTTGGAACTCAGAGATCTCTTTTTTCGTCTCACCAGCAGGTAGCTTTCATAGATTCCTGCATCTTCAGGTCTGACGTTCTTCAACACCAGTGAACAGTCCCCCTTCAGCAGGTGATCTTCAGGAACGTCCACACGTCCTTTATACCCCTCACCCTGATACAGCTCCACACCCCTTCGCTCAAACACCATCTCAGAGATGGTTTTCCACTCAACATGAGGACTTTGGGTGGACACTTTTCTACAGTCACATGGCAGAACAGCTGTGGAACCCACTCTGGCAGACATGAAGATTCTAGACTGTGCAGACAGAGAGTCTGGATAACACATAAAATAAAAACATTTAATTGGTCAGTATATAAACATATATAAGTCAAAGACCCCTCCAAAGACCACTCTTTTGTTTATTTAATTTCCAGCCAAAACTTTTTTTAAGTATTTAGTGTCAGGAAAATTACACAGAAGCCTCGAACACTCAGTATAATACCAACTCTATCAATATTGAATTTGTCCACTCTTCATATTTGTGGACCTACTGCCACTTTAACCATCCTTCCAGTCTCAAAACCATCCAGTAACAGCTGTGTCCTTCCACAAAAGCTGCTTCCAAAGATCTCACTGACATTATACTCACCTTCACAGAGACACTAATATTCACACTAACAGCTACCTGTACTCACCTCAGCTGCCTCTCACATTTCTCTCTCATGAGCATCTAAAATGACTAAAGGAGATATTTCTGATTAGATATTAAATAGTCCACTCAGAGGAAGGAGAAAGTGTAGAAAAAGAAAATGAACGAATAAACACAGGAGTTTCCAAAACTAGAGTTCAAAAACTGATTAAAAGCTACAGACTAAATGTGGCTCCTAACAACCACCTGGAAGACCTGGTAGACACCAAAACTGCCCCCATCAGATAAACAGCACTTAAAGCTTTCATCTTTGAGAGAGAGGAGAAAAACAAGCTGCTTCAGATCTGAAAACATCCACAGGTGTTTCTGTCCATCCTTCCACTGTGAGAAGACGATTCAGCGCTGTGGGTCTGAAAGGATGTGTAGCTGTTAAAGACGCTGTGGAGAGGTATTATATTTAGGATTTAGAAGCTGTAATAAAGGTAAAGAGTGGATACACAAAATACTTAAAATCTTATAGCATATATGGTTGTTGGTGCTTCTTTGTCATTTTCTGTTAAATATGTTTTCTGCTTGTTTTTCTGTTGCAAAAAAAAAAAAAAATTTGTACTTAAACATAGCAATTTTGACTGGAAGTTAAATAAATGAGGGGTGGTCTCTGACTGCACAGTGTTGTATATATTTTATATATAAACAAATAGAGGAACACACAGCCTATTTTATAAAATGGTCACTCACCTGCACAGGTGGCGAGCGACAGGATGAAAGCCCAAAGGTAGGCGCTCATGGTCAAAACTGGAAGATTTACTGACGAAGAAGAAAAATGATGAGGTATTGACTTTTACAATGATTCGAAACAAAGTCTGGGGGTTCTCCATCACAAAGGTAATCACTGCATTATAACACAGAAATCCACTCTCATTCTAAGACTAAGACGTAAATACTTTCTAAAACCAACAGTGAACCTGACTCCACCAATCACAACCAAAGTGCATTTAAATAAAAAAAACCTCAAAATGTCCAACAAATGGATTATTTTCAAGACTTTGTTTGGACCCATTATTTGCAGGATATCCTGACCTGACAGAAGAGTGAAAAATAACCGGTCAGTGACAGCCCAGCGCTCAGACTAAAGCTTGATCTGAAATATCAGTATTTAGCATTCTGTTTCTATGGAAGCTCACTCACGTCAGGTACAAGAGAAAACAGAATGATAAGGGGTTTATCTCCTTCCCTGTTTGACTTACTGTCTCAAAATATTGACTTACTATGTCGACATAATGACCGTCAGAATAATGACTTACTCTCAAATAACTTCATGCTGAAAATTTGGATATTTACTTTCATGAAATTGCAGTCATTATTTCGACAGCGTGTCCAATTGTCAAGAAAAAAACTCATTATTCTTAGATGCTTCAAGAAAGTAAGTGATTATTTCAAGGTACCCAGTTAATATTTTGAGAAAATTCGTCATATATAGACAGCGAGAAAGAGAGAGAGGAAAAAAAGAGATGAAGAGAGAGAGAGAGGAAGAGAGAGTAAACATTTGGGGCGCGTAACCACCAAACCTGCACCTGACAGTTTCATTAAAAACAAAACAAGCCCCCCCACCAGCGTGTCACAGCTGTTAGTCTCACAGGACAGAGTGTGACATTTGCATATGTTTGTATTCTTGCAGACAGTCTGCAATGAGCTCAGTTTAATCAGAACCGTTAGGAGACGTGATGTGTGTGTGTGTATAAATATTATGAAGTCTCACGATTTTGGCACTTTTGCCAGAGAGTGGAATGCCCCTCATGTACTTAAGTATCGAAAGTGAAAGTACTAAAAGATTAATTATGGCTCTGATGTCCTGTTATCATTTTTGTAACAAGACTCGCTTCATTAACTCATTTTAGGTGAAAATACTCCAGTGTCTCTCTTGGTAAACCAGTCTTTTAATAGAATGTCATTAATTAGTGACGCTGATGTCTATTAAAATTATCATAAGCACAAAATACTGAAGGCAAACAGTTTCCATTAAGTAGAACTGAGTGGCTCTGAAATCACTTTTTACAAACAAGCAAAGTTTCAGTTTAAGATTTATTTGAACTTAGTTACAAATTTAAGTTTAATAAAAACTTTAAACTCAGATTCACAAATGAGTTTCCTTTACTAAACTGCATCTGTAGGTCTCTGTTCATAAACATAAACTAGCAAAACTAATTTACTATAAAATGAATTGTGTTTGTATAAATTAAGAATAAAGACACGTCAGTCACAACTGCATATGAGTACATATTTCTATATTGTGGTCTGTTTACACAAAGTTAGGTTAGTTCATCATTTATGTTGAATAGACACTCCCAAAATTTTACGCTGCTGCACTGATGTTGAACCGTGTGCTGCACTGGGTCGGTATGACCAAAAGGTCAAAACAAGCTCTAAACAAAGTGACCGCTGTGCCCTGATTGGTGTTCTTACTTTGCGCTTCTTTTGTTTTGACGGTATGTTTTTATTCACACATAAACCAAAAGGAACGACAGATTTCTCAGAATGTGGTGGAGTAAAAAGTGAGATATTTGACTTTGAAATGTTGTGGAGTGAAAGTAAAAAGTCACCCAAAATGGAAAAACTTCAGTAAAGTACAGATACACAAAAAAATACTTAAGTACAGCAACAAATTACATTTACTTAGTTACTGTCCACCACTGAAGAAATCTCAAGCCAAACAAACAAAGTGCTCAGAATAAAACTTAAACCAAGACTGGTTTATGTGCTTTTGCATGGTGATCTGATGGATTCATATCACAGCCTCTTGAGAAGACTTTGGCAGCAGCTCTTGCAACTCTGCCTCTTTACATGCACCAATGGAGTGAGAAGAGCGCAGTGAAGCAGAAGGCTGCATCTGAGCACAGAGTGAGGAGTGGATACTCTCCCTCTCTGACTCACGAGACAAGACATCAATAATAATAATAATAAGATTATTATTATTATGAATGGCTGATGCTGTCTAAACTCTGGAAACTAGCCACTACAAACAGTTCTAAAACAGCCGCACCCCTTGAAAAAAAGCTGCACCACACCTGTACGAGATATTCTACATTTTTAATGCCTTTGTTTAGGTGTCTGGAGCTGCAATAGAGCGAAAACTATGGTTCAGCTTGAGGTTCCTAGGGAGCTGTTAAAAAAAAACACAGGGCTACATGCTGACGGCTATGAGCTGTGGTTGCACTTGTGCGTGCAAAATTCAAAATCTCACTACAGTTTCACTCAACCACTTGAATATTTCTCTTGAGCCACCTCACCAAAGTTGGCAATGAATTTGGGAGAGGGAAAGAGAGCACTGCTCAGCCTGTGCAATGTGCAGTGCAAGCTGGCTTTATGACATACAGTGGCATACGCTATACAAACAAAACTGCAGATGATATCGACTTTTTAATGCCTTCAAGTGTTGTACAAGAGTGGTTCAGTATGCACTGCAGCAGTTCGTACTCACCTCGCACTCAGGCAGACAGACAGACCAGGCAGGCAATCCAAAAATGAAATGAAGGCAAGTGAAAAAGTACCACACATGCCCCTAGCCCCCATTACTTTCAGTTACGAAAAACAGGCAGGTGGGGCCTAATTGCCGAACTCCATGAACTGAATCGCTCTACAGCACTCAGTCCAGATCCTGACGATCATACACTTCATACACTCTGTGTCCTAATATCCTCCACAATCTTGGGTACACTACTCTCAACTCACAGAACTGGAGAAATGATGTATAATTAGGCTCAATATTTTAAAGCAGCAATGTTTAATAATAAACTAATTTTTATTCATTGTTCCACTGAAACGATGGAGCTGGAAACAGCATGTGTAAAATACACACGGCAGCTGGTGTATAACGTTGGGAGAGACAAAGAGGCAGAATGCAAGTGCAAGTCCAGGGTTTTATTAAATATCCATGAGAAAAAGGTCTCCACAAAAGGTGACAAAACAAAGACAGAACACTGCTGAACAAATACTGAAACAAAGAAAACCAAAGCCAGAGGGCCATGAAAACCAAAAAAACGAGAGATATTCATAACTGAGAGAACAAAGCACCAAGCAAACACAAAGCACACAAGCAGGGGTGTAAATGTAACCTGGTACACAAAGAAAAACTTTTAAAATCACCTTGCGCACGCAACAAATGAAGAAACTAAGAGAACTTTGTGTGGGTCAGGCAGCGATATACTACCTAATGGTCTGAATAATAAAATGTATCATGCCAGTATACATGCCAGTGTACAGTAACAGGAGTTTTACTGTTTTCTTTAGTAGAGCACTGAATAATCTTTTCTCAGTTTTTTTTTCCCAATTTAACAAAATGTTGCAAAATGCATCAGTGAGTATACATTCACTGAACAAGATAATTCAGCCATAAAAAAACTGAATGTACACCTTAAAGCTAAGCTGGTTATTCCTCAAAATGTTCAGTGTGTATGTATAGAACAGTGGTGCTGTCCTTTAGTTCCGTAATCTGTCTCGTATGGTGTAAATGTCACACATCCATCCGGATTAGTGCTATCAGAGAACTCCAACTCCCAGAACTCCCTTGGGGATCATGTGACTCATGACACTCATTTCACAACCTATCATCGTTACTGTTTCACCTGAATACTGATATGTTTCACCTGTCTTCCTTGTTCAGGTGACCAATGATAGTTAGTATTTAAAGCCTGGGCTTTAGTTAGGTCTTTGTGAGGTATTGCTTTCTTGTGAGCTACTTTCTCTTGTATTGTCTACTTGTTTTTCTGACTATTGTTCTGGATTTTTGACCCTGCTTTTAGTCTCTGCTCGTTTGGATTTTGATTGCCCTCTGGTTATGTTTGTCTTTTTGTGTTTTTGGACTGTTTCGGATTTGACCATTGCCTGTGTTTTGACGACGAGTTTGAAAAGTGTTTATATTAGTAAAGCCTCTTTTTCTAATTTCATCCGCGAGCGTCTGATCAGTTCTGGAGTGTTACAGAAAAAAAAAAATTAAATTGTCTAAAGGCCTTCAAAAAAAATTTTGTTACCTGCTAGAAAAAAAAATCTTGAAGGAAGAAAAAAATCAAAGAATGTGGATGACGTCCCTTCTTGCTTGGATCCTTCTGAACAAGAAATCCTCACCAGATGCTTCCCAAACACTTACAGAGTGTTGTTAAAGAAGAGGTGATGAAACACAGTGGTAAACAGGCCCCCGTCCAAACTTTATTTGAACGTGTTGTTGGCATCAAATTCAAAATGGGCGTATATTTTTCAAAAAACAATAAAATTTCTCAGTTTCAACATTTGATGTTTTGTCTTTGTATTATTTTCACTTAAATACAGGGTTTGAATAATTTGCACATCATAGTGTTCCTATTTACATTTTGCACAGCATTCCAACCGTTTTGGAAATGGGATTGTAGTTTCTATACATATCAATTCTTATTCTACACAAAAAGAAAATCTAGATTTACACTGTACTGTTTGAGTTCTCTTTATGTTTTACGTTCACCTTGTAACATCGAACTACAACCCCATTTCCAAAAAAGTTTGGACGCTGTGAAAAATGTAAATAAGAACAAAACTGAGAAAATTTATTGTTTTTGGAAAAATATTTGCCCATTTTGAATTTGATGCCAAGAACAAGTTACAAAAAAGTCGGGACAGTGGTTTGTTTACCACTGTGTTTCGTCACCTCTTCTTTTTCTAGGGGTAGTCGTGGGCTGGAGGTTAGGGAACCAGCCTTGTGACCAGAAGGTCGCTGGTTCGATCCCCTCAGCTGACAGTACGTGACTGAAGTGCCCTACTGACCTTAGCAGAGCTCAGTAACACTGAGATTAATAACTGATCACATTGATTTATCAGTCTACTCAGGCTTTAGCAGAGCTCAGTAACACTGAGATTAATAACTGATCACATTGATTTATCAGTCTACTCAGGCTTTAGCAGAGCTCAGTAACACTGAGATTAATAACTGATCATCACATTGATATATCAGTCTACTCAGGCTTTAGCAGAGCTCAGTTACACTGAGATTAATAACTGATCACATTGATTTATCAGTCTACTCAGGCTTTAGCAGAGCTCAGTAACACTGAGATTAATAACTGATCACATTGATTTATCAGTCTACTCAGGCTTTAGCAGAGCTCAGTAACACTGAGATTAATAACTGATCACATTGATTTATCAGTCTACTCAGGCTTTAGCAGAGCTCAGTAACACTGAGATTAATAACTGATCACATTGATTTATCAGTCTACTCAGGCTTTAGCAGAGCTCAGTAACACTGAGATTAATAACTGATCACATTGATTTATCAGTCTACTCAGGCTTTAGCAGAGCTCAGTAACACTGAGATTAATAACCGATCACATTGATTTATCAGTCTACTCAGGCTTTAGCAGAGCTCAGTAACACTGAGATTAATAACTGATCACATTGATTTATCAGTCTACTCAGGCTTTAGCAGAGCTTTAATAAAGATGTTGGACCGATTAAGTGAGGATTCTCCGTAAAGCTGCAAGTCTTGTTTCCAATTCACGTTTCCCTTCTCAACAAGAAGACATTAGCAGCAAGCAGCACTGGAACTGCGGAAAGCGAAATGGTTCAAGAAAGGTTAACGTTAAATGGCCATTGTTACTGACTGTGTCAGCTTTTCGTCCATACAGCCTTTCTCAGACTTTTTTCTCGTTTCGCGAAGTTCCAGCGCTGCTTGCCGTTGATTTCTGTTCAGTCAGTGCGGCGCTGAGGGTTCAGTTTATACAGGGGAACGGGAATTTGAGGGGGAACAGACTGAGATGTGACACCGGTAAGTGCCGTGAACAGCTTGCAGAATGTAAAGATGTAGGACCACTGCAGCAAACCCTGGCTGACCGGTGATGCAGTCTGCGACCTTGATGTCAAACTGAATGAAACTCAGACAGAAGCTTGCTGTCATGGTTCTACCGTTCTGACTCCTCTGCTGCTGCTAATCATTTTCTGGCACTACATTAACTCTTCAGTAGCTCGAGTCAGTGGCTTATACTGTTAAGGCTCAAGACGCACTGCCTGATCAGAAACACCTTCACTCGTCAAAGATGGGGACGGTAGTGGAGAAAAATTGTCAACCTTGTAAGACCTCGATGTTGCAAAAGTGCTGTTTGATTCTGTCTCTATATTTTCTAGTAGCTAACGTATACTAGCTTTAAAAAACACAGCAGCCCAGTCCATCTGGTTTCCCTCGCAGCCCCACCTCCAAACCTGTACATCACTGCAGTGCCTCTCCCAGCAAGCCCCCCCAACCAACCCCCACACACATTTTTGAGCATTTTTCAAAGTTGGGCCAGGGGTGCAGTTAGCTGAAAGTAGTGGGGTGTAGTTACTCTTTACAGCAACACTGTCGCAGAAATAAGGTGGATACGACGTATTTCAGCATGGACTGCTTTTTGAACAAGTCACAATACAGGGCAGCCAATCAGAACAGAGCTCATTTACATATATCAGTCTTAAAAGCCCAGTAACAAAAACAGCCTGTTTAAATCAAAGGGGTAAAGAGAGGTTAGAAAATGGTCATATAAAAATGCGACAGACTGGCGACCTGTCCAGGGTGTATCCTGCCTTCTGCCCAGTGACAGCTGGGATAGGCTCCAGCACCCCACCGCGACCCAGAAGGATAAGCGGTTTAGATGATGGGGGTGTGTGTGTGTGGTACATAAAAACACACAAATGCCATAAGTGGACCTCAGGATAAAAATAAAATAGAAGTGTAGAATTTGGGCAGTTTAATCACAAAAAGCTTACACTAAGATCTTGAAGCGAGCAGTGCTGTTTATATAATCTCATATCAGATTAGCAGTTTTAGTCAGACTAAAGATATTTTGAGCACATGAGCTGCCTTTGTTTGTCTCACTTCAGTCCACATTCAGGCCAACGTGGAGGATGAGCTGGTCAAGGAGGCTCTTAAAACAGTGAGATTTTGGATTTTAATATTATTTAGTTTATTAATGGATTATTTTGGTTGTAGAGTATCTGGTTTGGTAAAATATCTGTGTGATATCCTGAGAGGGGGGATTGTAGGGGAAAAAAGGAGTACCGATGCGGCGCTGTCAGCGGGCAGGGAGCTTTTATTCTTTCTCTCAAAATAAACACAAAACAAACAGGAGAACACTAGGCTGTTCAAGTGCAGCTTGTCTCCCTGCCATGTGCTCCTGTCTCCCAGGTCTCTCATATTAGTAGGGAAAGAGAAAATTAGCCACAGGTGTAAGTGTTTGCCAATCAGTCCGCATCCTCACTCTGGCCCAGCTTCTGATCACACCCCCTCTGCCACAATCGGGTTTGAATATCTTTATGTCATGTTTATAGGGTGTTGATCTGCGAAGCGGAGGCGGAGCTTCAGCTCATTGAATAGTTGTCAATCAAACACTGTATCTTTTTTCTGTGTTGCATGTATGGATCCTGTCCTGCACGCATGTTAATCATGCTAGCATAAGCTATAAGTGTCCACTACTTAGCTACATTAGACTTGCAGCTCCAGGATAAAAACTAAAAAAGCAGACTTCATCTGTGTGTAGATGAGTAAGGGCTCGTTTCGGGATTCCTTGCCTTATTTTAACACTTGATTT